CGACCTGGCGGTGCTCGTCTTGTGGGTGCTGGAGCTGCTGGGTCTGAGGGTTCTCCTGGAGCTGGTCCTGCTGAGGACGTTGACGCTGAGCCTGCGGTTGGTGGTCCGACTGACGGTGCTCCTGGTGCTGCTGCTGGAGGTTCTGGAGCTTCTGGTGGTTCTGCTGGAGGTGCTGCTGGAGTGGGTGCTCCGGCCGGAGCTGCTGGTTCTGTTCCTGCTGTTTCTGGCGTCGCCGCGCGGTCTCGACCGTACTTCGTTCCGCTCCTGGAGCAGGTTCTTGGTCTTGCTCCTCCTCCTCCTCCCTTAGAGGGTCCGCAGCCTGTCCGGTCACAGCCACAGCTAGAGCCTGCCTCCCCTTTGCCTGCTCCTTCTCCCTACGCTGGTCCGACTGGAGGCCTTACTGAGCGTCGTGAGCCTGCGTCTCGTCCTGCGTCGCCTGTTCGTACTGAGCGCGCTAGTGGTCGCGGGTCGCGTCAGCGTCCTCCTCCTGTCCCTGGCACGCACCAGATGTCACTGCGTCCGTCCACTGCTCCTCTGCGTGCCCCTTTGCCTTCTCCTCCTGCTTCCTCTCTTCCTGCTCTTGCCGACCCGGAGTCGGACTCTCTTCGTGCTGCCAGTCCTACTGTCACGCGTCTCCTTGCTACTGCTGTCACTGACCCTTCCTTCGAGTCGTCTGCTGCGTCTGCCCTTGTCACTGAGCTTGTCGACTTTGCTGCGCGCTGTCGTCTAGACTACGCTGCTCGTCTTGTCGCTGAGTCTGAGTCCGCCTGTCCTCCGTCCGTCGGGGGTGAGTGTGCCCTTGGCACGGACGTCCTAGAGGAGAGGCAGGAGGAGTTCCAGTGTCTAGCCGCTGCTTCACCTCGTCTCGCGTCTGTACTGCTAGCCCCTGAGGGAGACCCGGATGCACTAGACATCCCGACTCCGCGTTCTTACGCGGAGGCCGTAGAGGGTCCCTACTCCTCTCAGTGGCAGGCAGCTATGGATGCAGAGATGGCTTCCTGGAAGTCCACAGGCACCTACGTTGACGCGGTTCCCCCTCCTGGGGCGAACATCGTCAGTGGCATGTGGATCTTCAGGGTGAAGCGGCCGCCGGGCTCGCCGCCTGTCTTCAAGGCGCGTTACGTGGCTCGTGGCTTCAGTCAGCGGCAGGGAGTTGACTACTTTCAGACCTTCTCTCCCACCCCGAAGATGACCACTCTTCGGGTGCTGCTGCACATTGCCGCTCAGCGCGACTACGAGCTTCACTCTCTCGACTTCAGCACTGCGTTCTTGCAGGGTAGCCTGCACGAGGAGATCTGGCTGCGCCGTCCGCCTGGCTTCACTGGGACTTTCCCTCCTGGCACCCAGTGGAGCCTCCGACGGCCAGTCTACGGTCTCCGCCAGGCACCGCGTGAGTGGCACGACACACTGAGGACTACGCTTGCGGCTCTTGGGTTTGCTCCTTCTACTGCTGACCCGTCGCTGTTTCTTCGCACCGACACTTCCCTGCCGCCGTTCTACATCCTCGTGTACGTCGACGACTTGGTCTTTGCCACAGCGTACACTGCTGGACTCGCCTACGTGAAGTCCGAGCTGCTGAAGAGACACACGTGCACAGACCTGGGTGAACTGCGCAGCTACCTTGGCTTGCAGATCACTCGGGACAGAGCACGCCGCACCATTACCCTGACTCAGTCACACATGGTGCAGCAGGTCCTTCAGCGCTTCGGCTTCACGTACTCCTCGCCTCAGGCCACTCCTCTGCCTACTCGCCACTCACTCTCAGCTCTGCCTTCGGATGAGTCCGTAGAGTCGAGTGGTCCGTATGCAGAGCTTGTTGGCTGCCTCATGTACCTGATGACCTGCACACGACCTGACCTTGCATACCCTCTGAGCATCCTTGCACGCTATGTTGCTCCTGGGAGACACCGACCAGAGCACATGGCTGCAGCGAAGAGGGTATTGCGCTACCTGTGCAGTACGTCGGGCATGGGGCTAGTGCTTGGAGGGCGGAGTCCAGTGGTCCTTACTGGGCACGCAGACGCTTCTTGGGCTGACGACCAGGCTACGCAGCGGTCGTCACAGGGTTACACCTTCAGCCTTGGTTCCGGCTCTGTCTCGTGGCGGTCTACTCGCTCGTCTTCGGTTCTCGGCTCCAGTTGTGAGGCTGAGATCTACGCCGGGGCCATGGCTGCACAGGAGCTTCGCTGGCTCACCTACCTGCTGACTGACCTTGGAGAGCTGCCTCGTTCTCCTCCAGTGCTGTACGTAGACAACAAGGCCATGTTGGCCTTGTGTCGAGAGCAGCGCTTGGAGCACAGAACGAAGCACATTGCTCTCCGCTACTTCCTTGCTCGTGAGCTGCAGCAGCGTGGTCAGTTGCGACTTGCTTACGTGGCCTCTGAGGCCAACACTGCTGATGTGTTCACCAAGGCACTTGCGCCTTGCGACCATCAGCGCTTTTGTACCCAGCTGGGTCTTGTACCTGTCTTGCCTCACTTGCTCTCTTCTTGACTTTACTTGTACTTTGACATATATATACCTGCTCTTGCTTGTCTAGTTTTATATATATGTCTGTACTCCTGCATGTGAACTGGCCTCTGGCCTTGCTCTTGTGCTCGGACTGTGTGGTGACTTTGTGATCCACCCTGAGCTTGCTTTGCTTTGCTTGACTGGTCTTGTGACCCCTTGTTCTCCCCCACTTTGCCTATGGGGGTGTGTCAGATAATTATAGCTGATGCATGTTTGTAGGCTGTAGTGGGGTAGCACATATGGGGTACAGTTTGCTAGGGTTGTATTTGTACCCAACTCTGACTTAGTCAATTCATTCCTGTTCATTCCTTTCACACCTCATTCACCAGCCCTACCAAGCCGCCCTGCTGCTGCTACTGCTGCTGCTCGTACTACTGCTGCTGGTGCTGCTCATACTACTACTGCTTCTGGTGGAGGTGCTGCTGGTGCTGGAGGTGCTGGACCTGCTACTGACCGTCACTGCCTGTCATGGCTACTATCACGGTAGTTGCAGCGGCTAGGGTGGAAAGCAGCGGTCACTACCGCTCCCGAATTACCCCACCCCTCAGCAGCTTCGTGAGTGGATTATTCAGCGAGGCATTCCTGGTGGTGGAAGTTTTGGTTTTATGGGTACTGCACAGTGGCAGTAGCAGCGTCCGAAGAGCACTTTCTCCCTGCAGCGGCCTCGCGAATGTGCTTCTCAGCGATGCGTCCCTGGTTGTGTAGAGGCTGCTGCTCCAGGTACTAGCGAGTCTGCTGCAGCTCTAGGTGCTCGTAAGTTTGCCGACGCTCTAGGTGCTAGTGCGTGTACTGCCACAGGTCTGGTCTCAGGCGCGTCGGGTTGCTTCTTTCGTGATTGCACCACAGTCACACCACTCGCAGCACATGTTCCAGTCTCACTAGCTGACCCCACTGGACCCCACTAGTAGTTGTGCAAGCCTCCACTGTCCTCCCGTGTCCGGCAGTCCCCTCCGGGTCTCTCAGGTCTCTATCTCTACGAATTCTCGACGAACTTGTTGAGCAACGCAGTTCTCCAGGATGCATGGGTTGACACCTTCATTCCTGGAGGACAGCGTGTGGCGATCTATAAGTGCTCATGGACTGGCCGTCACCTTGCTACGTTCACTCGTCAGCCTGGGTCCGATCTGTACACGCTGACCACTGCGTCTGTACAAGTGGCTGAATCAAGTCAGGTGGCTGCGTCGAGTCGGGTGTCTGCGTCTGGTCAGCTTGCAGCGTCTTGCTCGTGTTGGGTACTCTCTCACCAGACTCTTCTCTGGCACCACTGCCTAGGTCACCCCTCGCTGCCTCGTCTCCGCAGCATGAACTCCCGTCTCCTTGTCTCTGGCCTTCCCAGGTCCCTGCCCTCCCTCCCGTGCTCGCCTGCACCGCCGTGCCTTCCCTAGGTCGAGGGGCGGCAGCGCGCCGCTCCTCACTCCTCCGAGTTTCCTCCGACCACTGCTCCTCTGCAGAATCTCCACTTGGACGTGTGGTTCCCGGCCCCCGTCGGTGGAACGGACTAGCAGCGCTACTTCCTGCTGGTGTTGACGACTAGATACGCTACACTACTGTCTTCCCCTTGCGGCGCAAGGCGGACGTCAGCGGTGTTTTCATCCCTTAGACCCGTGCTACTCGTCGCCAGCTGTGCGGGCGGTTTCGTTGGGACTTGCCAGTCCTGCGTCTGCACTCTGACAGGGGCGGTGAGTTCTCTTCTGGCCTCCTTGAGGAGTTTTGTCAAGACAAGGGCATCCGCCAGATGTTCATGCTTTTGGCCTCTCCTCAACAGAATGGGATTGCTAAGCGTCGCATTGGCTTGATCATGGAGGTTGCTCGTACCTCCATGATCCATGCACTGCTCCCCGTCTTTTGTGGCCGTTTGCAGTCCGATACGCTGTGCATGAGCTCAACCTCTGGCCCGTGTCTCTCCCCGTGTAGACGGGGAAGGTTGGCGATGCGTCGGTGTTTCGGGTTTGGGGCGCGTTCTCCCTTGTTCGCGATGCCAAAGCGAGCAAGCTCTCCTCTTGCACTCTCCGCTGCGTCTTCCTAGGTTTCCCCACCGACGCCCCGCCGTGGGAGTTCTACCACCCGCGCGAGCATTGAGTCTTTTCCTTCCTAATTTGACCTTTGACGAGTCTGCCTGTTTCTACAGGCTACATCCACACGCATCCCACCCGGTTCCCCTAGCGCCTCTCTTCTTGGTACCAGTCCCCCCGCCCAGATAGACACCCTCCCCCCACAGGGTCCTGCTCCCTCAGGTGTGTCTCAGGTAGACCCACCCCCCTAGGTCGAGCCTTTGGAGATCTCTTCTGACTCCTCTGGCCCAGCTGGCGGGGGTCACCCCGCCGCTAACAACACGGCGGCCACTCTCCGCTCTCCACGCTTGCAGACGCCCTCTGATCTTCTGCCTCGGCTGTCTTCGCCGCCTCCGTAGCCTGCTGCCGTGGACTCTGGAGCCGAGACTGCTGGTGCTGAGCCTGGAAGTGCTGAGATAGCGGGTGAGGGTTCTTGGGATGCTGCGACTGGGGGTGCTGGTTCTGGGGGTGCTGTGACTGGGGGTGCTGTGACTGGGGGTGCTGACTCTTGGGGTGCTGTGAGTCCTAGTGGCGGTGGAGCTTGGGTGACCCTGCTGGAGGTCATAGAGCTAGACAGCCACCGCAGCCTGATCTACTTGAGACGCTCTCATCGAAGGCGATTCGTGCGTGGATCGTTCGGCAAGGTAGTCCTGGTGTTGGAGGGTACAGTCCTGTTGGTGCTGGAGCTACTAGTCCTGAAGGTACTGCTGATGCGGGAGGTGCTGGAGGTAGTGCTGAAGGTGCTGGAGGTGCTGCTAGTGCTGGAGGTACTAGAGGTGCTGCTAGTGCTGGAGGTGCTAGAGCTGCTAGTCCTAGAGGTGCTGGAGGAGCTGCTCATGTTAGAGGTGCTGGAGCTACTAGTCTTGGAGGTGCAACTGGTGCTAGAGGTGCTGGAGCTGCTAGTCCTGGAGGTGCAGGAGCTGGTGGCACTAGAGGTGCTGGTGCTGCTGGTGTTGGAGGTGCTGGAGGTGCTGCCGGTGCTGGAGGCACTGGAGCTGGAGGTGCTGGAGGTACTGGAGCTGCTAGTCCTGGAGGTGCTCGTACTGGAGGTATTGGAGCTGCCGGAGCTGGTGGTGCTGCTGGTGCTGGAGTTTCTACTGGAGGTACTGGAGGTGCTGGAGGTGCTAGAGCTGCTGGTCCTGGAGGTGCACGTACTAGAGGTGATGGAGCTGCCGGAGAAGGTGGTGTTGCTGGCGGTGGAGGTGCTAGAGGGGCGCTGGAGGTGCTGGAGGTACTGCGGGTGCTAGAGGTGGTGGCACTGCCAAAGCTCGTGGTGCTGCTGGTGCTGGAGGTGCTGGACCTGCTGGTGTTGGAGGAGCTGGAGCTGCTGGTACTGCCCCGCGCCGACCGTTTTTTTACCCGCAGCCGAAGTCGTCCCTGCCACCGCCTGACTCGGTCCTTCACCAGGTTCTTAGTCTCTTGTCTTCCAGTGGCCTCACTCCACCTCTCCTGTATCCACCGACAGACCAATCTCAGCCACAGCTACCGCCTGGCTCCTCGCTGCCTGCTCCTGCTCCTCACACTAAGGTGATTGAGTCCCTGACTGAGCGTCGTGAGCCCGAGACTCATGCTTCCACACCTGATCATGCTCGTCGTGTCGCCCGTCCACGTCCTCCTCCTGTCCCAGGCACTCACGTTATGGCACTTCGCCCTTCCTCTGTTCCACAGCGTGTTGTCCTTCCTGAGCCTCCCGCATCCTGAGCCTCTCTTCCGTACGATCCTGACCCTGAGTCCAACCCTGCTCGTGCTGCCAGTCCTACTGTCACTCGTCTCCTCGCTACGATCGTCACTGACCCTGACTTTGAGTCTACTGCTGCGTTTGCCCTATTCACTGAGCTAGCCGACTTTGCAGCTAGGAGTCGTCTCGACTATGTCACGAGTCTTGTTACTGAGTCTGATTCCGTCTGTCCTCTGTCCATCGGGGGTGAGCCTGCCCCTAGCCGTAAAGTCCTTGAGGACAGGCAGGGTGAGCTTAAGTGTCTTGCGATCGCTTTACCTCATTTTGCATCCATACTTATTTGCCCTGACGGAGACACGGATGCACTTGACATCCCTACCCCGTGCTCTAAAGCTGAGGCAATCGCGGGTGAGTACTCCTCTCAGTGGCAAACAGCCCTGGACGAAGAGATGGCTTCCTAGAAGTCCACAGGCACTTACGTCAACGAGGTTTTTCCTCCTGGGGTGAACATTGTCGATGGCATGTAGATTTTCAGAGTAAAGCGGCCGTTGGGTTCTCCGCCTGCCTTTAAGGCGCATTACGTTGCTCGAGGCTTCGGTCAGCGACAGGGAGTAGACTTCTTCCAGACCTTCTTCCCCACCCCGAAGATGACTACTCTTCAGGTGTTGTTGCACGTTGCAGCACAGCGTGACTACGAGCTGCACTTCCTTGACTTCTCCACAGCCTTCTTGCAATGCAGCCTTCACAACAAGATCTGGCTGCGCCGCTCACCTGGCTTCATTGGGTCGTTTCCTGCGGGTAACCAGTGGAGCCTCCAACGGCTAGTCTACAGTCTCTGCCAGGCGCCTCGTGAGTGGCACAACACACTAAGGGTGACACTTGCAGCTCTTGGGTTTGCTCCTTTCTCTACTGACCCATCGCTGTTCTACGCACCGAGACTACCCTACCGCCGTTCTACAATCTCGTGTACGTCGATGAATTGGTTTTTGCTACTGCTGTCACAGAGGCGCCGTCCTTAGTGAAGGCAGAGCTGTAGGAGAGACACACCTGCACTCACCTGGGTTAGCTGCAGAGCTATCTTGGCTTGCAGATCACCCGGGACAGAGCACGGTGCACCATCACCCTGACTTAGTCACACATGGTGCACCAGGTCCTTCAGCGCTTCGGTTTCCAGTTCTCCTCGCCACAGCCCACTCTTCTGTCTACCGGCCACTCGCTCTCAGCTCCACGTTTGGACGAGTCCGTAGAGCCGAGTGGTCCGTACCTAGAGCTTGTGGGTTGCCTCGTACCTGATGGCGTGCACACGACCTGACCTCGCGTACCCTCACAGCCTCCTGGCTTGCTACGTGGCTCCCGGTAGACACCGAAAGGTGCAGTGGGATGCTGCGAAGAGGGTACTGTATTACTTGCACTGTACATCGGGCATGGGGCTCGTGCTTGGAGGACGGGGTTCAGTGGTACTCATAGGACACTCCAACACTTCTTGGGCCGATGTCCCGGCGACTCAGCGTTCGTCACAGTGTTACACCTTGTGAGCCAGGTTCTGTCTCAGCGTTCAGTCTTGGCTCAAGTTCTGTCTTGTGGAGGTCCACTCGTTCTTCTTTTGTGCTTAGTTCGAGCTGTGAGGCTGAGATCTACGCTAGGGCCATGGCTGCACAGGAGCTACGCTGGCTGACCTACCTGCTGACCGACTTGGGGAGCGGCCTCGTTCTCCTCCAGTTCTGTACGTCGACAACAAGTCAATGCTTGCCTTGTGTCGCAAGCTAAGACTGGAGCACAGAACGAAGCACATTGCTCTTCGCTACTTCCTTGCACGTGAGCTGCAGCAGCGTCTTCAGCTCCCCCTTTCCTACGTGGCCTCGCGGGCCAACACTGCTGATGTGTTCACCAAGGCCCTTGTGTCTGGTGATATATTAGCATTTCTGCATTGCTCTTGGGCTTGTGCCTACTCTGCCTCACCTGCTGGTTGCTTGACTTTGCTTTGCTTGTTCTCTTGCTTGAGTGGTCTTGTGACCATCTGTAGTGTTTGCTCTCTCCCAATTAGCCTATGTGGGTGTGTCAAACTATATGTTTGTGTTCTCTCTAGGTTATAGTGGGTTAGCCTTTAGGGTGTACAACACATTCGGGTTAGTACTTGTACCCAACTCATTCATAGTACATACATTCCTGCATAGTTGATTCTGACACTTCCTAGAAGACCTTTTCGCTCCCACACTACTCTGCGTCGACCTAACTTCCCAACGGTTTTCACTGCCAGGTTCGTTTTCTAAACTCCCGTTCAGCTCTTCTCTCCATCGATTTTGCCTCCCACATACCTCCTGTCGCACTATAACCTTTTCCTGGGCTCTTTTCCACCGCTGGCGATTTTTTTCTTTGCAAAACAGCTTCCAAGACCCCAGCCAAAATGGAAAACTTTCTACCCCATGGGTATGCCGAGGCCATCGCCATAGTTCCCACCGCGTCCACAAACCTTATTTTTTAGCACGAATGCACCTCGTGCGATCCGCCTGCTTTCTCTCTCTCTTGTGCCTTTTCAACTACCATAATCGTTTACAGCAAAACCGTCTCTTTGTACGGACCACGCTACCAAATGCGCGACGCGCCACTCCTTACCTTCCTTACGCCCCCAATGCAATAACTGGGCCTAGAGTCCTTCCCATTTCATCCTCACCTCTCTTTGCCATGGCTTCCAACTCCAAGTCTGATCTCGTCATGGCTGATTCCACTGTCAACGAGGCTTTTGATGACGCTTTTCGCTCAGCTGATCTCCCCGCCATCCTTGCCGACGGCCCTCTTTCTCCCATAGAAGAGGCTCCTCCTCCTTCCAAAAAGTTGTGTGCTGTTGGCCCGTCCTCCAGCAAGGCCTTCTCCGGAGTTCTCCCGGAGCGTCACACGGGTGACTTGAGCTCTGCGCCCTCCAGTGCACAGACTAGCTGTTTTCTTCACATTCGCTAGAACCGCGATTCCGTTGGCGAACCTGTTGTTTCTCTTGAACACGACCTCCACACCCTCGTCACGATGCTTTTCTCAGAGAATCCGGTTGACGAGCATTGCTGCAAAATTGTCGCCCGCGTGAAGAGCTCTCTCCGCCTGGACCACTTCACAACTCGAAAGATTCCCTACTTTGAGTCCTCAACTGGCGAGCCTCTGCGCTTTCCTTGCAAGACTTATGCCCGGCAGGTCTTCCAGTGGCCGACACAAGAAGATGCTCGGTGCTTCCGTATGATTCTCTTGCTGTCCTACCACCTCCCCAATGGCTCGCTCATCGACATCAAAGCGTACGATGATCCTGAACCCGACTTCACAGCTGCCAAGGCTGCTAGGGAAACTCACCTCTTGCTCCGTAACATCCCCATCGGATTCTCGCTTGAAGCTATTCGTCATATGCTCGTCTCCTAGTGTAACAAAGCCGGTCGCAAGTGGCTCTGCGACGTCAAGCTGCTCCACAAAATTCTGGACCCTTACGAGGAGGTGTACCACCCCCAGGTGGCTGGCCTCCCCGTGGCTGAGGACGATGACCCGGGGTTCGAACAGATCCTGGCTGTTATTTGGCTTCCGGGCATTCATGAGCCCATGCTTCTCAACCTCTCTTGCCACTTCTGCAACATTTGCAGCAGCAACCATCGCTCTGAGGATCACTCAAGCTTTGCTGTCATGCGCAAGTCCCGCGTCCATAACCCCTTTCAGAGCACCGTGGCCCAACTTCAGGCCGTTAACGGTACTTACTCATCACCTCCCCCCATTGCTCTGACAGGATACTCTGCATTGTCATTTCTAGTCTGGCTCACGATGTTTATTTCGTTCTCTTTACCACTCTTGTGTGTGCTCACACTCCCTAGAACCTGGCTTTCCCCTCACCTGAAACACATACCGTTCGTCTTCCCACCCTGTTTCATAACCTGCTGGTCTATAGACACTGGCTTGACATATTCCCTACCATCTCCCTTCTTTTAGCCCCTATATCGCCTTTGGACACCCCTTGGGGTCTCACTCTGCCTCACTTCCGCTCTACCACTGCCTCCTTTGTCTGACACAATACCACCTTGCTTTATGGCTTTTCCCCTCAACAACTTCTGTTGCTTAGTGCCTCATTCCTTTTTCTGGAAGCTCCCCTCTGCTCACGTCCATAACAGGGTTTCCTACCCCTCTCTTCATGTTCACCCTTTGCTCTCTTACGAGCTCCCCGCTCTGCTGGTCTGTTCTCACACCCACATGACTCCCTCCACGGGTCTCATGCATTATCTCTCTATCCTTCTCTCCTTTGCCCCCCTTCCTGCTAGGAAAAAATCAAGGCAACGGACCCGTGCCTACAGCCTTCAAAACCGACCCTAGGATGCTCTTCATTGGCATTGACATTGAGGTCGAATTATGGACCTGCGCTGTCTGCAACTACACCTGTGGTTGGGCGCTCGATTCTGCCTTTCGTCACATGAACGACCCCTCCCACGTGACACGAATCAACCAGTTGATTTCCTCCCGCACCCCTTGTCAAACACTATATGTGTTATTATTGTGTAGGCTATAGTGGGTTAGCCTTTAGGGGGTACACAAAGTTAGGGTTTCCTACTTGTACTCCAACTTTCATAGTGCAATCACTTCTTCTTCATAACATGGAATCAAAGCAGGTCCTCCGCTAGGACCGATTCCTAGGGCCCACCACTACTGCTGCCTACTAGCGCCCTCGTGCGCCCTACTGTCGGAGCGCCCTCGAGCGCCTCCCCCCTAGCGCCCTCGTGCGCCTCGTTTTCACGGCCCCCTAAGGCCCCGCGACCCGCGACCCGCCCCCTCTTAGTAACCCGCGCGCCGCCCCTTAGAGGCCCCGTCCACCCCGCGCGCCGCCCCTTAGAGGCCCCGCTGGCCCCGCTTAGAGGCCCCGTCGGCCCCGTTTGCCCCACGCGCCCACCCCTTAGTGGCCACGTCGGCCCCGTCGACCCCACGTGCCGCCCCTTAGCGGCCCCGCTGGCCCCGTCGACCCCGCGCGTCGCCCCCCTTAGAGGCCCCAGCCGGCCCCGTCGACCCCACG